GTGTGTGTGTGTGTGTGTGTGTGTGTGTGTGTGTGTGTATACACATCTTACACTGTGTGGACAAATTTGATGCGATGATTGTGAGGACATTTTATTGGGGAGTTGTGGGTTAAGACTAGTTAGAATTAGGTTTAGGTCGGGTTTAAAGTAAGGGGCTAGCAGATGCATTATGTCAATGAGAGTGCTTGCAACTATAGAAAGACCAATTTATCTATACTGTTTGTTTGGTTTGTTTGGATTCCAGCAACAGTATCATGCCAGAAGTATCATTACTGTACAGCTGTACTGTATATGCTGCATTAAATATTGATATATAAATGTTTCCTTAGTAGAGGGTTTCCACTTCTGTGGTCAGAATCAGTCTATGGACAGAAAAAAAGCCAAATACTAATGCAGTCTCTGGTTAAAAATTCCTTGTGTTCGACACACTCCTCCTCATATTAAAATACTCTTTTCATCTTTTATTTCATAGGTCCCATGTCAATTCTGACTCGTCTTTTTCTGTTGTGCAGGTGTTACGTTGTATGATGATCCTCATGAGGGACTGCTCTAAACCCTCAAAGAACAGTAAATAAAAGGACATGTTAGGTTCAGCCCTGCCTGCCTGTCATTATTTGCAGATTAGTGCTAGCCTGCACCCTCTTTGGACATCTTTCACACTTCTGTCCCACTGAGCTCCAGGGACTCACTGGAGGGAACAGAGAGCCCAGCAATGGATTGAAGAGAAAGTGGCATAAGCAGAAGTTATCTTCTGCTTTGTCTTGAGCTGCAGGAAAACCTCCTGTAATGAGAATAATAAAAAAAAAAAATTACAATACCTACCACTACACATATACCCTCTCAGGTGTTTGCACATAGCGGACACCTGAGATATATATGCCTACATGCCCACTGATCATTCATATATGCATTTCCACATGCATGTGCGCACACACACACACACACACACACACCCATACAAGCACACAGAAAAGAAACATGACAGTCTCTTGATGTTCCTCTGGGGTCTACTGCCCTCTGCAGGCTTTACAGGAAGTAAATAATTCACATATCCATAGTTTTTTGCTGAATATTATACATCCTGAAATTATAACTGAAAATAGCTACAACAGCAGTATATTTTATATGGCACAAGACAGGTTTTAATGTTTTTAGAGCTAATTCCCTTTTTGTGTTTGTTCCACAGTGGAGCCTAGCTGTGGATGTCCAGCATATGGCTGAATGGAGCCACTTTAAAGAGATGAACACAAGGACTCTTTCAGTTAAAGCAACTCCAGAGGCATATGAGGGAACTCAGTGTATCCACTCAGTGTTCCACCACAAACATAGGATTTATTTACCTTCCACTGAGGGGCAGCCAGTACGAGATGATGGTGTGTGCTTAGAGAAAGGTAGAGGTGTCTGTTTGCATGTCTGTGTTTGCTTGAGGGGTGGAGAATTGGACTGGAGTAGTACAGTGGTTGTGTGACACTGGATAACATACGATAGAAAGTAAATGCCATGATCCCTAAAAAGTCACAAAGCACATACACAAACACCCCAAAAAGCCCCCAGAGCATTCTATTTCAGATGGGCCAATCAGAAAAACTGTGTTTGTTTATTTTTCCAAAAACAACCTCACCTATTGAAAGACCACTGAGGTGGGACAGGGAACGTTTGAGAAAAGAGGAACATGGAAAAGTGCCAGAAAAGGTCAAAACGGGTGGGTTTCCTGTTTCCTTAGCCCTCTCCCTTTCCTTCACTTGCACAGTACAAGTAGAGTCATTGAATCTGTAAGTGCGTATGAGCACACTGTGTGCTCCTGTTGGTACAGTAGATTAATGGCACCACAGTCTAAACCAGTGTCACCCTTAGGGCTAGTGGTGCCTAATTGTAATCTAATTTCAGCTTCTCTTTTCCTCAAGGAAAAAAAGCTATAAGGCATCTGTGTAACATACTGACTAACACGAAGCAATTACCCAAACAGGCTTATCAATCAAAACATTTTTAAACAGACAGAGCTTATTTGGGGTAGTTACATTTGTATGTGTTATTGCACTGAACAGATCATCACTGTCAAAACACTTAAATCAGGGACTTCAGCACTGCTAGTGGACAAAAGCAGCACAGCACCAAACTTTGAGTGAACTCGATACAGGGTCTGACCTGGTTCTTCAGTGAATCATCAATTAAAACTTTTCATCTTGAAAGATAGAAAGATCTGCTTTGCTCCTGTGGGAATATTCAGCTGTCTGCGAGAAAATCAGCTTGGTCAACAGCTGTGAACTGAGAAGTGTTTTCTCTCAGCTGGTGTGTGAAACAGTCAGAAAGAATGCAGACTTGAATGGGCTCCCTGTTTCTGCTTTCTTTCCCCCAGGTTATTCCCCCTCAGTCTTTTGGAGGTCCATGGCAACAGCATGCCTTTGGATGTGGAGCTAGATGGAGAGAATGCAACTAACAACAATTCCACATTCATCTTCCTTTCATCCATTTTGTCCTCAGCTGCTGCATTTCAGATTTCCAGATATCAAGGAGCATGAAGAAATGATCAGGCTCCCTCTGTCGTGGCAGTGATTTGTACACTGAGCTGAGTAGTCGGATTTAAGTTTATTAAAAGCAACACATTTACACTGAAATTGAATCTTATAGGCTGCTCTGTAGATAGTTCAGGTTAGGCTATAACATAATAAAGAACCCATAAACTCAGTTTGTACCAGATCACTTCCTCTGCAACTCCCTCTTCTAGTTCCTCTGCTAAACAGTTGTCACAGGCAGCTGATGGGACTTTCATACTGCTGGGAAACTTGCAGATTTACCATTTCAACTGCATTTCAGTCTGATGTTACATGTAAAAAGGAAAACTACTGTTTATCTATTTTGGGCCCTCAAACAGCTAAAAAGTCCATTTTACTTTAATTTTGTCAGAAGCAGCATTTACATGTTAAAGAAACACTGATGGTTTTATAGCTTCTAAGCACCATTTTCAACAAAAGAATCAATTTATTTATCATTTCAGTAGAACAAAATAAGATTTGCATCTGACTGAAACATTTATAAATGCTTGAAAATAATCTTCTGCACAAATAACCAAAATGTGATGGTAAAAAGAAAAGCACTAACAGCAAGTCATTAAAGAAGCTCATAACTTTGACAACTTCTGCCTTAGTGAGAGTTTGAGACTTACTTATTTATCACAGTCACCTCAGTCAAAATGGCAACCTGAAGTTACACGTTCTCACACCAAACCATCAAAACATCTAAAGACATTTCTCAAACTGCTCTTGCAGCATATTCAGTTTCTCCACTTTCATACTGTATGCTTAAAAAGGCAATAGCATGACACAAAAGCAACACATTTAATTTAGCGAAATGAAAACACTGAGTATGGGCAGACAGCAAAGTGTTTCTGTAGACTCCAACAGAACGGCTGTATTAAAGTCAGATTTAGGTCACTGAAATGAGTACTTAACACTGACTAAAACTCTGACTTGACTCATTACTTGAAAGCAAAATAATGAAGTGTTGTGCCTGAATAAATCAATCACAGGCTGTGATCATCATAATTGGGCCCATGCAATGATACAATGTGATCATATTAAAAATTATATTATTACAAAACTCTGTTAACATTGCTTTGAAAGCACCTTTTTTAAATGCAATGGCATTTTAATAGTCAGCATCCAGAAACCTGAAAGACTTGCAACTAAGAAGCACTTAGTTGATGAAGCGTTATCACTACATTTGGACGCCTTCAGGAACTGACACTTGAGATGAGACTTTGTTTGACAAAATATGAAACTTGACTCATACTTAAGACATAAAAACAGCTTTGCTATTTATGTTTTGATACTTTTTTCAACATGAAAACTTCATTCAACTTGACAGTAGCATGAGGTCTTTAAGATGGTTGCATCATCAACTTTCTACATTGAAACATACAGTTTAACTTTATGGTTGAGGAATAACTGCAAAATGATATTGCTCCCAATTTATTATTGCCACTCATGCCATCAGTATTAGTTGTAAACTGTACATACTCTGACTACACCCATGGTTTCATTTGCACTTGGTATTTTACAGTATTCCTTTCTGCTTAAATTCGGTTATGGCTCTGCACAACTCAAGGCCTGCCACCTGTTATGTATTCATATTTATGTTTAAATCACTAGAGTAGTATAAGCGCACTCCTATATGTACCTCTAATACATATTCCTTTCCATGAGTAGCAAGCCAGATTCAGCAGTGCCTCAGCCAAGCTGAACAATGCTGTCATTGAACTAGAGTCACAGTGGATACGTTCATATACCATCAAGAGTGACAGTTAATGAAACAGCACCTTGGTTGCACTTAAAGTGATAGGCCACTTTGACACAGTTACATACATACATACATACATCTTATATAATGTCTGTAACCAAAACCATCAACATATTATACAACAGTCCAATTTTAACTTCAGTGGGTGAATATATCTCTCTTCATAATTCAGGTGATTTTACTTTGAGTTGGGAGGTGATGCAAAAACTCCTTGCATCACAGTTTTGTTCATGTGGCCATGAACATACTTGTCTGACATAAATGGAATGGCTGTGGCTTTACACCTAACGATCCTGAGCGGCGTGCCAACAGAAGCAGCAAGTTATTAGCAGAGAAGCAGCTTTTGTAAAATGGCATCTAAATTGCCTTTTTACTTAGAGGCGAGGCAGCAATAAGACAGACATTATTTCATATATGGCTCACTGGCATGTAGGTAAGGTATATTTCCGCTTTAGTGTTACCTCATTTCATAAAATCTCATGAGAATTATATAGCCATCTGCTTTAAAAGACATTTAGGTAAACATATCAATATTACATTTTCACACAGTGTAGTGTTGGGAAGATAGGAATACTCCTCATGAAGACCACAAAATGCAAATTCACTTTACCTGAGTCAGTTATGTAAAACCTTATCAAAGCATATCTAGGTCTAATCCAAAGTGATTCTATCAGCTGCCTAGTGTAGTGCAGGTTTATACAATACAAAAAAGGTTGAACTAGGCAGTAAGACCAGTTACTGTTAAATCCCATAAGGAGACTAAAACCAACTTTGAATTGCATTTACCAACAGTAAGGTCTTTACATTGAGAACCCAATTTCTGTGCCATAAGTTTCCATAGATCTGCACTATTAAAATTACATAAGTGAGCATTATGCTCCCTCATTACAAAAAAATATTGGCACAGTAGTTGATCTATAAACTGCTTCTCATATTTTCCTTGCATTTTTTCCTCGTGCCTTATGATGCAAGTGCTAATAAGAGACTTGAGACGAACCCTATTATATGCATTCATATTTTCCTCACTTTAGTCTTTTCCATGTATCCATGTTCCGCCCACGTAAGAGGTAAGGACCAAATCAAAAGAGAGAGGAACTGAGGAAGCACATTTTTAGAGACGGGAGACATCGTTTCCTCTCATCCTTTATCTGAAGTGTCCAATCACCATCTGATTTTCATTAAAGCAGCTTGTCCGGACGTAAAGGCTCTCCACCGAGGATGTACTCTTGTATCCTCACTCATGGCTCCTCCAGACAGCCTCTTTGCTCCTCAGAGCAGATAAGAGTTTTGGAATGTCTTCCATTCTTACTTGACAGGAACGACTTCCAGGTCAAGCAAGGATGGAAGAGCGAGGAACGATATGAGACTTGTGATGTACCCTGTCAAAGTGATGGCCTTGTGGAGATGTTTACTGATAAATGTCTGCACCCATATCTGTCATAATGAAGAAACATGTCACCCAGTGTAACAGTTTTACTAATTTATGTCTTTTTACTAGTGCTTGAACAACTCTGAAGGTATATGGGTACATCTCAAGTAGGTACATCCCCAGTCCCTACATATACCTCATTCCATGAGCAAGGAACACAGATAAATAAGCTAAACTGGGATCTGGATTCAAAAACCTTGGTACATGCAATTCATTGTTAGTTTTAGTCTCTTTGGATTTATTAACAATAACAAAAACATAATGTCACCGTCCTTATTCTTTCAGCACTAACATCATAAACCATATGGAGAGACACTCTTTTTCAGACGCACACAAACAAAACGTATACACAACATTTTCACTAAATCACTGAACATCACAATCAACCATCAAAAGTACCTCTCATCAACTTGACATCTATGCTCATTTCATCTGAATGAAACTCATAAACCTTAGTACCAAGCTGTTCAGTAAACACAGTATGCAAATAAATAGGCCTACTTCTCTTTATCAAGTGGCTCTAACTTGTTACAATGGAGCACGTCATTGGTGAGTAGGAATAATATTGTATGGCTTTGTATTGTATGGCATGCTGTTTTGCTAACTAGTTTTGGTCTGTGCAATAATATCTTCTCCTGACTCCAAACCATTGTGTATTGTGTTTTGCAAATTCACAGCTACATTTGCCAAGACTAGTGAAACATTCTTTCCTCAAGCAAACTGACAGACTTATCGATCAGGGTCTTTTCATCATCCACAAACCTGTACCCAAATAGTTTCATGGTGGGTCCACAGACTCTTTGCACTACCTGAGCCAGTGTAAAGGGAATGCTAAATCTCCATTTCTCTGCCTGCTCTGAGGAGTTCTTCTGGGTGGAGTAAATCCCGCTAGCCTCCTGTGTGGTCTGCGTGTTCCTCAGAATCCACTCCCTAGCCTGGGGACTAAATGGTATCCCTGTGAACCTGTACATCTCCTCTGCCTTCTGCATAGGGTAGCGGGCAATATCCTCATAACGGACCAACATGTAGCGGCTCCTCAGCCAGCGAGGTTGGCTCAGCCCCACTTCCGCAGACATCCTAATGTTGTCACAGTTTCCTTTGAGTCTCTTCACCTCCTCGTCGTCTTCAGGCACCTGGCCGTCCAGCGCCCAGGCTTTCCACGTCTGGTACTTTGAAGAGAAAGCCACCATGCGGGATGCTAAGATGGCCCGTGGATCTCGGACTAGTTGGATCACTCTCACGTCCAGGCGAGGGTCCTCCACCAAAGGCTGCAATGTGTCCAGCTGGCGCACACGGACAGTTTTAATGGCATGGTGTTGTTTGGAAAGGCAGGATTCAGATGCAAGAGTCAGGTTCAGCGGCCCACAGCGACGGGTTTTACAGTGATACCTAAGACAAGATTGGTATAATTTTTATATGATGAATATCATTCACAGAGTTGAATATGTGCTTCTCATAATCTACAGTAAGATGATATGGTTACAACTGATGACCATAGCATAAACTGTACTATCACTCAAATGTCTAGGAAACATCTGTGTTACTCTCCATCTTTGCATCAGTTAATAGTTTCATTTTCAAATTCAGCCAACATTCTAAGCTTTATAAATATTAATGTGTATCTACAGAGTGTGCAATACCTCTCAAAGACATCTTTGATTACAGGAGTGCAGACAGGTTCTTCACAGAGTGATAAACTAGACTCTCTGCGGAAAAGAGCCGGGGTGACATGGTCCTGAGGTGGGGGAGAGATGAACTTCTCAAGAGGAGAGAAATCACACAGGAAGAGCCGCTGGAGGACATCCCGGTAGATTCCTGCCAACACTGTCCCATTGTTTGCCTCTGTGGCTGTTGTCAACATGCGCTCAACATGCCACAAAGGCTCAAACAGATAGAACATGTTCTCCCCATGCTGGTTGAAAAATTCCCCCACAAATGAGGACCCTGTTCGTGTGGTGGCCAAGAGCAATATGTGCTTACAGCCGCCGCTGCAGCTGTAATTACATGAACCATCAAAGACATTTGGATAATTCCTCTTTGTGCCAGTTAGTCTTGAGAGCAGCATTTTGAGCACAGTCAAGGAGACTTTTGGTGTTAGGTTGCTGTAGTCCAGTGTAGCCTGTGTGGTCTGCTGTGGACTCTGCCTCTGGATCAGCTTATCAGATACCCTGATGAGATACAGAAGCTTGATTTAAAAATATTATGCAGCACTATAAACTTATATTTCACATTTTTACATTTAGCTGACACTTTTACATGGAGGTGCTGTGTGTTTATCAGTTATTACAACAACAGACCCAGAGGATCACAGCTTTGGTCTGAAATTCTTTTAAAAGGATAGTTTGATATTTTAGAAAAAACACTTGCTTTCTTGCCGAGAAGAAAAGATCATGCATTGTATATGAAGCTACAGCCTGTTGGTTAGCTTAGCTTAGCTTAGCTTAGCGTAAAGACTGGAGGGTAGGGAGGAGCAGGTTAAACAACTACTGGTGGTTGCTTTATAATTACTTCTCACCAAACTCTGTACAAGAAATTAAGTATTTTCCAAAATGCCAAGCTATTTCTTTTAAATTACAGGACTAGTCACTCCCACCCAATCTCAGTAGACCACTAACTTTCTTAATATTTGAATGTGTTATGTGTAGGCAACACACAGAGGAGTGGTAACATCTCTCATGTCCTTCCTAATTTACAGATTTTATTCTCCTACCTTGACAGGATGTTGCTTTCCTTTTCGATGATGACCAGGGCAACAATACAGATGAAGATGACTGCATATTTGGTCTTCATTCTTAAGTCCTGGCTTTGTAATGGGACGTCTAGAGTCTAGTGTGAGCGTTGGTCATAGCTTGTCATGCAGAGGCTAAAACTTCATTCTGCAATAAGAATAATACTTCAGTAAAGCCAAAAATAACCAGAATATGCAAATTTGATGTTAATCCCAGTTTGTAATCCCACTTAATATCTTCACAATTTAATATCATAAAGCATACAACAGATCTATCTCTATGGTGAAAACATAAACCAGTTAGAAAATAAACTCTCTCCTGTCTCAGCTTGTAGGGGCAAACCTTAATTCAGCCAACAATATTGAATCAACATGAGGTCACAGATTAAGCAATATGAATCCTTGGGAAAATTCTGTACTTTGTTAAACATTTGTAAAAGTGTTTGTCTCATTTCTTTGAGTCACATAAAAGACTATGCAGCTTTTTTTGATTGAGCTGAGAGTCAGGTTAAGGAAAAATACAGATGAGAGAGAGAGAATTAGTGTAAACAGGAGTGATCTTCAGTGCCAACAAACACAATAGAATGCATACAAATAGCACTGACTCAGTGGGAAAGACAGATTTTGACTCCATACTGTGTGATTTAAGCCTTCATATCTGTTTAACAGTTAAAAGTCAAGAAAAAAGTCCTGAGTTACACAATCTTACAGGTACACTCATATTGTAAGTACCATTTCTGGGAATCTGAAGTTCGCCCACGCTATGAAGTCACCAGTACAGCAAGCCTTAATATGTAGTCAAGTAATCTTTGACTTCAGTCTTCAAAAAGCAGGTCAATGTTTCAGCATAAGGCAACAGGCAAGTCAGAGCTTGATAGCAGCAAAACCAGATGGCGCCTCAAGGAGGTATAGTATCCTCCATATCCACTAAGAGTATTGCATCACCCTGCCATGTTTAAGGACAACCTCAACTAGGAAATGCTGAGACAAATCAATTAAGATGACTTAACATATCAGCCCACTCTGGTGTCACAGAGCAACAGACCGTTGACACTGAATCAGTTTTGATGTTATTCAGTACAATTAACTTCCTAAATTCAGAATAAACTGTCTATGGACTCTAATTTTATCCTCACTATGTAGCAAGAACACACACACACACCTGGACCTGTAAAGAAAGTGAATATTTGCCACACACAAAAATACAGTTTTCGAGTCATTTTGAAGTGATTGTGTGGTCTGTAAGTAAATGCCGCCAAATTATCTGGGCGTTATATGCCATAGCCATTGTAGGATATGGTCCGTCTTACCATGCTAACTCTGAGAGACGAGACAGTCCAAGTAACTTCAAAACAGTGCTGATTTATTCAAAGGATCACAGGTAAAATTAACATTACACGCTCAGATATCTTGCACCTCCACCATGCTCGCAGGCAGATGTAAGATGGAAGACCCCGAGCCCACCAGGACTATACATTTTTATCACTTCGGTTGGGCTAGCCCCATACTACACAGAAACATCAACCAAGACGTCTCTCTCACCAGCTTTGCAGCTGGCCCTAGCAATAGTCAAAACATGAAGCAAATCAACGTGTGAATGTGTGTGTCTGTTGGTTAAGTGGTGTGTAGCTAAAAACATTCTCACACGACCTCTAGTGACATGTCATGACATTAAACATAAGAACATATTATGGCTAAAGCTACAGTTATACACGTCATAATAATAATATTAAACACCCTGTCTGCTGACAGTCATCAACTCTTCTCTCTAGTTATCCTTGTTTTGTGTGTGTGTCTGTTGATTAAGTGGTGTGTAGCTAAAAACATTCTCACACGACCTCTAGTAACATGTCGTGTCTTAAACATAAGAACATATTATGGCTAAGGCTACAGTTATACACGTCATAATAATAATATTAAACACCCTGTCTGCTGACAGTCATCAACTTTTCTCTAGTTATCCTTGACCAGATGTACCCTGTAGAAACTCATAAGCATGACTAAGCATTTAACAGTCTAACTAGACATCCTATCTCCACTAAACATTTCTAATACATAAAGTATCTATCCAATATCTATCTGACTAAAAATACCTAACACCATCAAACTGTCAGGCAAAACCACTTGAGCTGAACATTTCTACATATTCAAGAGTCACTGGAACATTTGGCAAACCTGACTGTCTGCTCCAGCAGAAACATGCATTGCTCTGTTTATCATCTCACTTCAAATTACATTAATGGTTGCCTTCAGAGCCCTGAAGCAGCATCTCATGAAAACGCTGGAAGCTAAATTTCCACTGAAAGCTGTGATGTTAGTACAAACACTTTACTGTTATGGGCAAATACTGGAAACCATTATCATTTCCAAATGACTGACTGATTTTAGTCTGGATGTCATACTATTTTCCATGTGGAAATAAAGAAAACCACCCCCGCTGTGTGTGTTTGTGTGGTGGCCATTTACTATTATAGCAGTGGTTTAGGGGGAGGGGGCATCTCAGGAGCATTTGCATCATGTCCCCCCCTCAAGCTGAATGAAGACAAACTAACCAGCACACAACTCACATATTAAAATGAACTCTGGAAAATTGTTATATGAAAAAAGGGTTGTGGCCGTTTTTACAATCTTCATTTACTCCGTATAAGGAAACACATACATCAAACATGTATGATTTGATATGCGTATGGTTTAGTGCAAATAGCGGCCGGAAATTATTCATCATTTTCAGAGTTATAAGCAATTAATTGTGCCGGGATGATTACAAGCGCTATATGATGGTATGTCATATGCTTAGATTCATTTCTTCTAGGAATCTATATATATATATATATATATGTTTATATATGCACCCTTTAACGTAGATAGATAAGATAGATAGAGCCCTACAAACCTTTTAGATGGTCTCTCGCTGCAATCGAGGAAAACGTCCCTGATCTTGTGAGAAAGAGTATCGCCCCTCGTAGCATCTTGCTGCATTGTGTCGGACACAGTGCTTCATTGTTATCCTCGGACACAGGCTCCTCTCCTCTGCCAGATGAATGAGAGGCAATGCGTGGGCACGGACGTCTTGCAGGATCATCAGCGTTAAAGGAAAGCAAAACCAGCGACAAACGAGACTAACGTTTGTGTGCCTTTACTTTGATTAAGAAAAAAAAATGCAACAGTTAAATGCTAAAATTTACCAGCACCCGTGAGACAGAAGGTGCAGTTTTGCCTAACAATAGTTGTGTGTTGAAATATTGTCGCTCCTAAACCTTTTCTTTAACTTTCCTGCTGGATCCCGCTCCAGGACCTGACCGTGTGCTCCACACGTCGCTACTCTCCCTGCGTGGACATCCTGTGTAGGCGAGGTCACGTGACACTCTGTGGCTGCATCTCTTACGCTTGAATTAACCAATTTGGTCTCTCCCCC